TTTTGAAAGAACGCAATTTTCCCTCAGCTACCAATACTACAGCCCGGCTTCAATAGCTGGTCAATAAAACCTCGTCAGTCGCGGTCACTCATGAGATGAATATCAATAGAGCTGCTCAGTCCTGACTGCTTATAAATATAGCCTTTTACTTTTGGTCGAGATCACAGTTACAAAAACGTGTATTATTTGCCATAATTGTTTTCTTCTCTGGCATTACTTGAAAATTGCTTTCGATTTTATTTTCTCCTCTAAAAAATTTACTCGAGTCACCGATTTATTTGAAGACATTATCCTTATTTTGTGCTTGTAAACTATTTATTATCATGAATGATTATCAATATACGTCAGGCCTATTCAAATACGTGCATGAGACTAACATTGACCTTTGTTTTTTCAAGTAATTTATCTAAATTTTCTCAGTGCTACAAAAAATTTTGACAGTCGAGTAGAAATGCAGTTCTTAGCATTGAATGCTTCTTGAACAAGAACAAGGAAATGAAGTTTTTTTCATACTTAATACTATTCCACTCACGTTGATTTTTAATAGAACTTTAATGTTTGTAATCAAGGTTGAATTTTAGTGATTAAATTTTTATCTATTAATATATATTTGTTAGTTAATCATGAAGTAGAATTGTAACAGGTGATGCTTCTTGCTCATAAATACCCTGACATATGTGGAGTTTATAAGCTTTAATACACGCTCCTGCATAATAAAATATATTATCCTCTCACCTTTAGTGATTCTGTGGCCACCGAATTTACCCCCAAGATTTCCATGTGGATCGTTTACATGCCAGCGTCATCGCAGGTGTGAACTCCCAGCCTCGCCTACGCAGACCCTGAATTATTCATCAGCGTTGAGGTCACCAATCAGAACGCCGACTATTTTTGCACAGTAGAAACCTGAGCCTTGAAATCAACTGGTTTTACTGACGTTCAACTGAAGCAGGTATGCAAGAGTTCATGTCCAATACACTGCGCAATTTAAAAGTTCATGTCCAATACACTGCCCAATTCAAAAGTTCTTATACAATACACTGCCCGGTACAAAACTTCCTGCCCAACACACTGCCCATTCAAAAATTCCTTTCCAATACAATTGCTCAATACAAAGGTTTATGACCAATTCACTGACCGATATGAAAGGTCAAACCTAAAACATTGACGCAAAGGTTCATGCTTAATTCACAGCCCAATGCAAAAATTCATGTCTAATTATAAGGTCCCCGATACAAAGAAGACGTAACTGTCATGCAAGCGCGAAAAATTGACGAAGGAGATAATCTCGGCAATTTGAATGCTCCTCAAGATTTATTCGAGGGTCAGCGAAAGGAAGATTTCAGCGTGGTGCAGTCGTAACGAATTCAGACGTCAATGCACAAGCTTGTCTGTAATTGAGAATGCTTCTAATTAAAAAGAGCCCGTGCCAATATATATGCAATGCACTTCAAAACACCTTGCAAAATTTTCAATATAGATAATTACATGGAGCATACTTTCCTTTGTGATAATGAGACCTAAAATAACACTAGCAAGCGTAACTGAGATTTGTTTGAACTTAGATTTGTTTGGATATAGAATTGATTCACTCCAGTATTCGGAACACCGGAATTATAGTTTACGGTTAGCTATAAGTATAAGATTGTCTCACAGTTTGCTGAGTAAGAATTAAATTTGCGATAGATCAAGATAGCTTTACATTTTTAATAAACTAAATACAAGGCTTTATCTATTCATGGAAGAAATTGGCTTTTACTAATTCGATTTTCTTTCATGAAGTGCATGTTTACAATTTTTAGTTTGCTTCGATATTTTTTGTTTGCCTTTAATTTCGTTTCTGGCAGGTTTAAAACCGTCTGTTTTGTGTTCTAAAATGGCGTTAGGTCAAAGCCATCATATGTTACTCCGCGTTTTTCATGCGAATACTTAACTCCAGAAGGTCATGACTAAATCCTGGTAAGATAATTATAGGTCAAGAGCAGCCCGAAAAACTCCATATTAAATTAACAAATTTCTCTCAGACGAAGGTCACACTTCCAGGTATAAATAGGAGGTCTAGTATTTCATGTCTACCAATTCTGCCATCGCCCCAAAGTGGAGAAGTGAACTCGTCTGCGAAACATTCTAAGACCCCAAACACCAACATGCAGTTCAAAATTGTGAGTAATAAGTCTGCCTATTCTGGAAGATTATATGGAATATTATATATATTATATATATTATATATATTAGTATAGCAGGAGTCGTTCAAGTCACGATAGTAAGAAACAAGCAATGCTGTCAAGCACAAACAAATTTCTTGCCAAAGATGATCATGCCAAAACGAATCGAGTTTTATCAGATTGTTTCTATTTAATATTATTACGACTGTGGTTATTATACTTTCGTGTTGCTTACTTGCTCAGCATGAGGGACTCGATCATTCATTGCACATTAAAGTAAATTATCAAGCCAGAAATGCAAAGTTTTACCAGAAAAATTTCTGCAAGCCTAAACTTTTTAATATTGGAGGAAATAGAAGCAAAGAAGTATTGGAGGCTAGGTGAATCGTTCAGCGCTATAAAATTATTCGAATCTCCAGGAGAATTTAAACGATATTTCATGACTGATTACAATACTCTATTTCTGCGCAGCACGAATTATCTATGGATCAGTTTGGTAGTATTTTTCCATGACAATCATCTTTGTTTTTACTTCAGTTATCTCTGCTGGTGCTGCTATTGTGCGCCTTGTCTGCAGTCGCTAAGCCCAAACCCATCATCATCATCTCGGTTGGGACAACAACAACAGTTGCTACACCGACAAGGTAAAAAACTGCTCCATCTACCATCATTCTTGCCAATGAAGTAAATATTTTTAAAAGCAGATTTAAAATAGGAATGAGTCACGAAAAGATTTTTTATTGTAATATGATTCGCGAAACGTTTTATTAGGACTGGCATACCAAGATAATCGTACTCCTTTATTAGATATTCACCCTAATTTGCAATAAAAAACCATCTGTGGCGTGAATCGCTTTTTAAATTCTACTTGTAAGAGATGGAATAGTAAACTGCAAGCAATAATATTTCATTTTTTTTAATTTATGTCTAATACGTATTATTTTTTTCCAACAGTTTCCCTTCAAAGGGCATCAGCATTGGATTCGGCAAAAAATGAGCGGAGTTCAGCAACAATCTTATTTTTTACTCTTCACTCAATCGCTACGCTACTAGTTGAATTGTGCTCCGTTTTTATTATAATATTTCTGTTGTTTTCTACCCAATGTTTCCACATTTATAAAAACCCATGAAAAACACTTCCTTTTTTTGCTACCTCGTGATCACATTCTCATATATCAAACCTGATTTCATGATAGGAAGTTATAAATAGCTGCTAATTAATATGTGTCANACCTGTCTCTTATACACATCTAGATGTGTATAAGAGACAGGGTCAGAACAGTGTGTAATCCATGCTCAGGTTAGCAATTTATAATTCGTTGATTAAGGTATCTCCTACTTTCTACAGCGAAATGAAAATTTTTATACTTAATTTTTTTCAAGCAAAAGTGAATAAAAGGATTTGATTTTGAGGTAAAAAAGTTCTTTTATAATAGTTCAACAATAATTTGTATTTTTTTCATACAATATATTATAGCAATAGCAGCATATAGGTAACTATATACATTTTATCATACCAGTTATTTCCGGGGCATTGAGCTCTGACTTCTAATCTTGACACTGCTTTTTAGTGCATTTCCTCATTTATGGAAAAAAAGGCGCAATTGTGCTCGTCATGTCCGTCCGTCTGTCCGACCGTGACCACGTTTTCATCGACGAGAAAATGCGCTCTCTGTCACTCACTGCAGTGAGTACTGAGTTATATATACATATATATATTTTTTTGTTTTGATTAAAAACAAGTTTTTTGGAAGGACTGGTCTGTCGCTCGATCTTACGAGAAACTGAAATTTTCTACTATTATCTCCCAACTCTTCTCATAGCGGTATCAGAGATATGTATAAAAAGGGGTCCGAGAACTTTCAGTTGGAAAGAATCACAGATACACTGTCTCAATGTTCCTTTCCAACCAATACTAATAGTGGGGATGAACACATGAAAAAGGCTGAATTTATTCCATTAAGAAATGCCCAGAAATGTATATCGATATTTTAATAACTTTTTGTGTTTGGTTTGTGCGATTTTACGTATTCATGCAGCCTTGCAACGCAAAAACATGAAATATTTGAGCACGCAAGGCATAAAATAACTTAAACGAAAGGATCGGACCAAAAAAAATTTGATTTCCAAATTGGTAGTTCTAAATGTAATTAAAAAAGTGTAAAATAGTTTACTAGTATTTTGAAACGAGAGTCAAATGGGAGTTCTTTGTTTTGTACCGTGTAGAATGTGGGCTTGTTAAGGTTTTCTTTTAATTAAATAAAATATATCAGCTTTATTATTCTTGTCCATATTATCAACGAGTTTAGGAACAACAGGAATGACGGGATGCCCAATAACGGAGCTTTGAAATTGCTGATATTATTGAGCCTGTCAGCTCAACCTGCTGAATGAAACATTTCGAAATATTTTCAAGGAATGAAATAGAATTGAAACTCATTCTATTCTTGGGTTCAAAGTTATTGTTGGTGCATGTTGCTGAACATTTTTTTACATGTAAGTATCACTTCGAGGATTCTTATAATGATTCATTTAAACGTGTGTGTTGCTACTAAAACATATAGTAGTGAAACTGACATTATTTTTTAGGACTTGATGTTAATTTGTTAATTGCTATGACTTCCTTAGTATTAAATAGCAAAGGGTTTTATTATATAATAAGTTTGACGACGTCTGAATAAATATTCAGTCGGACATCTTACGCGTGCAACAGACGCCTTCGAGGGGGCCACAGTTGTCGTTAGCGGTGGCGGGGGCGGCAGTGCCCCCCGAGAACATGCATGTGGCGAGGTTGACGCAGGAACCTGTGGGGTGAATGTCATCCCTGTTGCTGCACAGCGCGTCGTACGTGCTCGACATCGCTTGAATCTCAGCCTCGCTGCCTGTCATCAGAAATTCAGGAGTAAAAATTCATTGCTATAATGAAACTTATTCTATAAATGAATTGATAAACTAGAATGAAAATTCGACCGGCTGCCACAGTCGCCAGGAAACTGTAAGTAAATATGCATGTATCGCTATATTGATATATATTCTATAAATGAATTGTTAAACTTTAATAAAAATTCGACCGCCTGTCACAGTCACCGGGAAATTAGGAGTAAATATGTAAAATATGTAGCCTGATTTCGTATTAAAAATTAGTAGATTTGCTGTTAGGAAAGGTCGTAGTCTGTCTCTTATACACATCTAGATGTGTATAAGAGACAGCTATAGTGCTTCGAAATTGCTCCGAAATNGAAGAAAGATAGAAATGACTGAGCCAAACAGGAGCAGAAACAATGCAAATAAAAGAGAAATAGAAGTGTTTTTAGCATGATAGAAAAACGCAGTCGCCAAAATTCCCAGCGGGATAGAGTACAAATGGAAAACATTAGTTGTAGTTAGAAAGACTTAGACTGCGTGAATTTACGAAAACAATGTTCTCATGTAGCTTACGGAAATTTTTAAGTACATTTTTATGGAAAAAGCATTTGCTTCTGGAAATGACCGGAACGCAATTAAATTTTCAATTCTGTGTCATGTTTTTAAAGTAGCTGCTTCCTGAAAAATTCATAATTTCAAAATTTTCTATTAATTTTTTTTTTCTGGGGTTATAATATAATATAATGGATGTTCTATCGAATCCTTTAAAGTCAAAAAAGTAATGCCATTGTTAGTCGTCATAAGTCATTATTACAGACTGACATATTCTCGAGTTCCGGATCCACGTACAATTCTTGAGGACGTTATTTCGTACACTTGCGAAATTATTCCTTAAATTACTTGAATTAAAAAGTCGCCAAAATTCGTCTCATATTTTTTGGCGTTTGGCATTTAATTATTACGATTTCTTTTGGTGACTAATACAAACAGCAATGCAATGAATCTAAGTTCAAATTTTCATCAATAGTATCGAATATGATTCGTGAAGCATCTCTCATTCGCACACGTAAATTCACATGAATTTCAAATTAGAATTAGATTTGCGATTCCAACTAACTTATGCCCGATAAGTAAGACTTTCATTATTTAGCCTATAACAAAAATCTGATTACAACTTTTTGATTATTAGATTGGTATGAATTTACTCGTAAAAAAGTTACTTGTGTAAACATATTAAAGTAAAACATTGTGCCACGTAATGATAATTGATAAAAAAATATATTATCAGATCTGATAAAAAAATATATTATAGCGGATCTGATAAAAAAATATATTATCAGATCTGATAAAAAAATATATTATCGAATCTGATAAAACAAAAATATTATCGGATCTGATAAAACAAATATATTATCGCATCTGTTAAAACAAATAAATTATCATGTATCTGATAAAACATATATATTTTTGCATCTCATAAAACAAATATATTATCATGTATCTGATAAAATAAATCTATTATCGCGTATCTTACCTCTGAAGAGGTTCCTGATGGGGTTGATGAAGTTCATCTGAGCGACGGACTGCAGGGATGTCGAGGACGGCAGCCAATTCGACAGCGGCGACTGAGACGTCATGATCATGAAGAACATGATTGTGTTATAGATCATGATCATGAAGAACATGATTGTGTTTGACAACATGATTACGAAAACGATTGAGAATCACGAACCTTTTGACACCGACGCAATTATCGCCATCGTTTATAGACGGTAATGAAGCTTATAAAAGATCACCCAAATGCCCACCTTTTGACACCCAACGCAGTTATCGCCAGTGTTTAAAAACATTTATACAGTAATGAAGCTTATAAAAGATCACCCAAATGCCCACCTTTTGACGCCGACGCAGTTGTTATCGTTACCGGACGCTATGCCGATGAGGCGAGGAGGCTTCTCTTCATCTTCGAAATTAATCACGACGGGGCCTCCTTGGTCTCCCTGAAACATCAACAGTTTTTATTATCTTCATAGGAAAATTACCAATTAGTATAATTTAAATCAGACTTAACATTCGTCGCTATTTCCAGGTCTGTTGACGTTTGAGACAATTTTTCATGTATACACACACATACGGGAAATAAGTTATTAATGTAATGAAATGCCGATCCGATGTAAAGAGAATCCTGGGACAAACATTGTTCTAAATTTCTGGAATTATTCCTAATACATTTTCATGTGCCTTATGGGCCTCTATGTATATCATTAAACATTGCCTGGAATGAGCAAGAAATCTGAAAGATGGTTATTAACACGATCGGAAATGCCATGACTTCTGTCTTTTTATTTGTTCATTGGAAAAAGAAATTCTGGGTTTAGGAATAACAAATGAAGCCTAAACACACCTCGCAGAGCTGGATGCCTTTAGGGGTGAGGATGCAGAGCATCTCAGGCAGGATGAACTTGTCGTGGTAGAGCTTGCGCTTCATGGGGGAGTCGTCGTAAATTTCATTACAAGCTTCTTGGTGCAGGTACTGAAAACAGATGAATATGTCGTCGAAACTAACACTGTAGGCTATTATTACAGTTAAAAGTGTTATTTTGGTACTGAATAATAGAAGTATTTGATGTGCTTAACTTAATGATACTCCTCGAGTAGGAAATCATTTTTTAACCTTCATGAGACTAGCTTATTTTTGCTCGAACTTTGCTCCAGGAATAAGTTTTCACCTTAAAAAATTTAGTTCCGTAAAATTTAGGCAAACATTTATAGCACTCCGACTACAATTTGGACATGTTTTACGGCAGAGGCAGGTAAAATTACGGGATCACGATGATATAATGCTAAATATAATGCACCTATATAATGCTCTGAAATTTACCAGAATGATCGTATGTCTATCGCTCCATGAATGTCATGGTGAGCAATGTCTTACATGAATCAGTAGTTTATTAATAATGAGGTTTGAGTTTACTTTCACTTATGTTCGTCCGTGTTATATAAGTACTTTTGACATCACACAACACTCCCGCACCCTTCCATTGATGTAGGTGAGGTGACGTTCGTACGCAGCGAAGTTGAGCAGCGGTGTAGGCCGAACTCCGTGCCCCAGCATCGTGATGTCCTCCCCGACAAGTTCCGCTACAAGCAAGAATGTCGCTAATGAATCTTCAAGTTCTAAATTTATTTTATACCTTAAAGTTTCAGCAATGAAAGAGCACCGATTTGTAAGTTTCATGATCATAACATTTGTAAAACAATTGGAAACAACAGCTTATTTCCCACAGTAAACAATCAACAATGGTCAGACTTCGGTCTCGGCGTGAGGGAAAATTTCTGGGGGTAGACTAAATCCGATAAATTTCCTGCTAAGGAAATGAATTTAATGTAACAAGAATGTAGCTAAGAGGGAGGATGTTCCCCATGTAGATCTTCTTGATATGTGAATCTAAATGTTTGCGATGCGACTATACATATATGTTCTCGAGCACAATTCTCGATAGTATACGTCACTGATCCATAACTAACATAAAATAGTAAGCAAGAGAAGCTTGCTCCAGTGGCGGGCAGGACTGCCTGCCACCAATATAGTCGTGGAAGACCCTACAGAAGGTCTCAGTCCAGACCTTCTCGTAATACATAAAAAAATATAACTTAGCACTCACTGCAGTGAGTGTCGGAGAGCGCATTTTCTCGTCGACGAAAAAGTGGTCACGGACGGATAGACGATCAGACGGACGGACAAGATGAGCACAATAGCGTCTTTTTAGCTCATTTTCTCATTTATGGAAAAAATGCACTATTGTGCTCGCCATGTCCGTCTGTCTGTCCGTCCGTCCGTGACCTCCAGTTTTCTTCGACGAGAAAATGCGCTCTCTGTCACTCACTTGAGTACTGAGTTATAATTTTTCATAAATGTGAAAATGCGCTAAAAATGTCATTAAACACTCACTGTCAGGTCGAGCAATGCTGACAGGCGTGCACTTGATCATGTCCCGCTCTAGCTTGAGCACCGCCAAGTCGAAGGCGAGTTCGCCGTGCTTGTACATGGGATGGAACACCGTCTTGGAAACTCTGCCAGTTAAAAGACAATTTTATTCTAATATGTGCAGTTTAGCGTGTTTCAAAGCTTAGCTTATATCCGCTCTTGTTATAACAGAGACCTTCTTTATTAAACTTTCCTGGAGTTTGTTTTGAACTTACAGGGTTCATTGATATAATAGATACAACTCGATTTCGGAAGGTTTCTAATATGATAGTCTTCAAATTTTTCTTGATCGGTTTGCCACATTTCGTTAAAGATTTTTCTGTAAATGCTATATTTATTTCTCAATCTCTTGACACATATTATTTATCAGTTCGATATTATACATTTCTTCAATTATTTAAATCAATCTCAGATATTTCTCGACTTTCTTGCCGCATTCGGAAATGAACGCTGCTCTTCATCAGATTATTGCGAGGAAATGAGCTTCATTCAACATGAGTTGTGTCACCAGTTCCTAATATTGTACGAAATGTCTTAGCTTCAAAGTGATTTTTTTTGTAGATGTTATATGTAAATGACTAGATATTCTAGTCTAATCTTCTCGTCAGTAAATAATTTTTGATCTTCAGAGAGCATTTCATTCACGATAAAGTATTGCCATTAATAACAGTCGTTTAGATTTGTAGTCTTAGAAATAAATGTTTCACCTGTTTGAATATGCATCATGAATGCGAATGACATCAGAACAATGTTTTTTCACGCACCTGACGTGGTGGGTTTTGTTGAACAGCGTCTCGCCAGAGCGGAATCGTGGGTCTCCTAAGTCATCTTGGTTGAACACAGCGTGAATTCTGTAGTTCTTAGTTTCGAATCTGTAGAAGTTAAATAAGAATTTCTATAAAATCTCAAGCCACAAAAGCTGCCCGGGACTACTAATTATAAATGAAAGAAACACGGCTTGTTTTATTATAGACTTTATTTAAGTCTACCATATTTACATTATAACCACTTGTGATTCTCTTCACTTGCTGAGGATATACTGATTTTTAGTGTGACAAAATGCGCGATATGATGCCGTAATTCAATTTTAATAATCAGAAGTTGGAACGAAAACCGATTGCGTTAGATTGAAATAACTTTGATACGTAATTCGAAATTGTATTTCTTGTTTGATTCTCGTTAGTTGGGCCGGCATGGTTTTAGAATGCTGTCGTTCTTTCATGATTCTATTATAAGATATTTTTGTGCAATTTATGACTAAATTTTCCTTGATGGTTTATCAACGTATTCCACAAATAATGAAGGGGCAAGTTCATATATAATAGTGAAAGTTTTTTATTGAACTAGACACCTGGACCAGGTTTGTTACGGACCAGGTTTGTCTGTAACATCTCTGAAGCCACTCACCCTTTCCTCATGACGCAAGAGGCTGCCGTAAGAGCGAATCGAGGGGAAATGAGAGTCGCGGAGCAGAAGAAATGTTCACCAACCTCGTTTCGTACGATCAAGTACCCCTGAAACACAAGAAATTCAATAGTTTATCACTATCAAGTAGCTCTGAAACTCGTAAAATTCATTAGTTTCTCACGACCAAGAAGCCTTGAAACACGTCAAATGAAATCGGATATCGCGATCAAATAGTCCTTTAGGCGTATCATAGTAAAATGTAAGACGGAGGTCTGAACTGGAAAAGATCCTCCGAAAAAAAATAAATCCGAATATATTGATCAGGAACTATTACATTTTATGCTTTTAACTTAAAATTTTTCACAGAAGGAGAACTTATTTTTCCTCGCTGTGACATTCCAGAAAAATAAAAATAATGCTCTCAATAAACGAGGTAATTATTAATCTCCCATTACAGATTATCTATTAATAATAATTATAATTACCTGTATTACTATAAGAATGTATTGTTTTATGATTCCACAATAATGTTTAGTCATTTAGAAAAATGTGTCACTGCAGTTTTAGTCACTCTACTCAATTTTAGCCATGGAACAATTTGATTAGATTTGGTCCTTAAAATGAGCTGCACTGAAATTTCTTACGTAAAATGATGTGTCTTTTTCTTTCGGTGAGCTCTGCGTTGTGGAGGGACCTGTAACGAACAAATTAATGAATTCCTGTCCAATTCCGGCATGATTGAACTCAATCAAAATTTAACGTAATCTTTAGAAGATAAAATTCAAGTTCTATAAGTAACGATTGCATCTAGTCACTCTAAAAACACGAAAAAGATACATCTATTGGTGCAAACAATTTACCTTTTTAGACATTTCTGTAAAATTATATCGATTCTATGTCCAATCGACCAGCGCAAATAAAAGAATATTCGAAACCGCATCTAGACATGGAGATATATATTCGTATAAATATTCTATTTTGCAATTCTGATTTAAGTTTAAATATTCATAAATATATTTAGATAAAATTCAAAACAATTATGATTTTTCAAGAAATGAATAATAATAATAATTCTCGATGTAGTGACTTAATCAAGCATATAAATTATTAATAATGCATAATTTCTACTTCGCATCAATTAGATTTCAGTGGAAAACAGAATGTGAAAGAGATTAAAAATTAATAATTTCTTTTCTTATGTATACATACGTGCTTGTGCGGCTCCATTGGCTCTGATCTTTACAATAGACTAGAGGAAACTACATTCTCATTTTCGCTTTATGATGTGTAGATGTGTAAAACTCACCTTCAATTTCTCTATTTATTATTAATGTTAAAGTTGTCATGTGGGCAGTAAGTTTTTGATTAAATGTAGGATAGCTTTATATGAAGGTTAGAGTTAAATAGTTCATTCGTATTCACAATCAAAATTTGTTGAAAGTTAATAGGAAATTTAAATTAATTTAAATTAATTGGAAATTTAAAGAGAATGAGCCTTGAAAGTACCACGTCTATAAGCAATAATACATGAGTCAATAATTTATTGAAAATGGTCAGTAACGTGTACCTTTATATCGCCATGACCTGCCACCCATTTAGCCTCATTTTGAACGATCTTGTAGCACACATGAATAGAAAATACAGATTGTTCCCATCTTCACCTCTAATTATTAACGATGGACCTAGTAACTAACGTATACAAACATTCAGGCACTTCAAAATAAAACACATTATCGAGGCTGGAAATTATGGAAGCTAAGCAGGTTTAAATCAGCACTCTGAACTAGAACATATCAGCTAGTAGCCCCAAAAGCATTCCTTACACAGGTTTATACTTATTCATAATTTTGCTGAAAGCCGATGATTTGTTATTCTGAAAGTTACCGAGAAACAGTCCTAATAAGGAATAGAATTTACAGTTTGTTGTTATAAACTGGCTTAAAATTACCACCCACATTCAAAATAGTAATTCAACCTGATTATTCATGTCAAATTCTGGTCTAAGCAATAACTATGTTGTTGATAATGTCACTCACACTAGGCTGAACTTCTTTGGGAAAATTGTTTGTCCTAACACACAATGTACCAAGTTTCACATGAATAAGTTGGCATATGAGGGTTAATTGATGTGTAGTTGGCTGCTCCGGATGTGCTCATGTACATGCAAATCTGGACGAAGATGCCACGTACTTGGACCCTGAGAAGTGACATGATCAGCAGTATTGTGCACTCCTTGAGATTGCCGAAGATTGTTCAAGAAGTTGGTTGCTGCTAATTTGCCTACGTGTTGCGCCAGGGCATTCAAATCGCTTCCGGAGGCCTGAGGCTCCTTGTTGGCATTGGGAGCGTCAAGCGGGGAAACTAAAACCACGAAACCATCATCAATTAAGCTGCTACTCGTCTGTCCGTAAGATGAACGACGTCGAGGCAAGGAAAGCCCGTCGCCGGAGGCTTTTCTAGCCTCTATTCCTTCTTCGACGACTTCCTTGAGCTCAGCAACACTGATGCTATCTGTGATAAGGGCATTTGAATCAAAATAATCGTTGTGGACACCAGCAGCATATATTTCTTAGTAATATGAAACAAGAAATAATGCCAAAATTTTGAGAGAATCACAGGTTCGAACAGCGGAGGGTAAAGGTTTCTATAGGGAGTGGCTGTTGTAAAATTTCTTTCAGCGAGGAGAAAAAAATTCTTGCCAATGTATTTATGAATTACATTGGGGCTTTCAAGTATCTTGTGACGGTCCAATATGAGAGGTCGTCAGATTAGGGTCAGAGACTGAGGGATACCCGCAGAACAACGCTCTTGGATTAGTTATTGAAGACATGAGCTATTGTGCAGTAAAATCGTCCATGTCTCATATCGCCGAACTACTAATTTCTCTCAAACATAAGGGCTCTACTTGCTGTATGTAGCTACGGTTAAATAAAAACTCTGCAAATGAAAGTAATAATTTTTTCCACACCAACCAATGCATAATCGTCAATAAATTATTTTGTACACATCCTAAAATTTTAAACAGTTTGGTAACCATGTTCATTTCATTCATATAAACATTAATTAAATCACCAAAGGAGTCACCATAGTTCAGTACTCTGTCTCCAATATGGAATTGTTTATTTACAAAAAAGGCCAAACCTGCAGTTGAAGTCGATTCGCCAGAGAGTGTTTGCAAGTCAGATTTGTTAGTAGGTGTTGGGCCTGTAATGTTCCCAAGAGTAGGAGAGTAACTTGGTTCAGTAGTTATTGTTACAGTGTCATTTTTAAAATGCGATGACGATCCGTTCATGTCCGTTGGTGACTGACCAAGGAAGGCTAGTATGGATTGATTCTTATCAAAAATTTCAACCATTTTATTAATTTTGTTCTCACTGTTAGCTTGGTTTTTTATCGAGCGATCAGGTAGCCCGGCTGGTAGTCGAGTAGCTAGTGCTTCGAACTGACGATTATCTTGGGGCCGAACATGAGGGTTAGTTTGATGCTCGAGTTTTGGAGCCGGCAGGGAATTCGAGTTCCTCCGGAGTTTAGGATTGGTGGGTCGGAGTTCAGAATCTGCATCGGGATTAAATTTGTCACCGAACAACTGTCTTATGATTTCTTGATCGTTTAATAATTGCGAATTTGTGTTCTGAGGTGACTTCATTGATAAACTTGAGCTTGACGGTCTTGTTAACAATGCTCCTAAGGAGTCTGAGGAAGCCGTACTACTCCGTGTTTCGCAACGAGAGACTCTTGGGTCACAGGCAGATTTCTGAACATCGGACTTCAAAGGTTGCACCACAGCTGCAGGCTCCGAAGAATCCAATATATTCCCAAAAGAGGGTAGTGACGACACCATGTTCCTTAACCAAGTCCATTGACCCAAAGTCTGTGTATTTTGTAGCTGAAGAGTGTCTTGAGGATTCGGGACTTGGTCAGGGAAAAAATCATTTCTTGACTGTGAATCAGAGGAGGTTATCTTTGCTTCCTTTTCTCGACGATAAGTTTGACGTCGCACTCGAATAGGAATCTTTTCTTCTGGGTTTTTTCTTTCATCTTCTACTGGGTTTGACTGAGGTTCTTCGGTTGTTGATGGTTCATCCTTGCTGGGCGGTAATTCCGTCTTAACATCTTCTTCTTTTACGCTTTCAGATGTTTCATTCGTAGATGTGAAAAGACGTCCACGGGGAGAAGTCCTGCTGTGCCTTCGGCTGATCTTAACTGTGAAAAAATATCGAATAGAGAGCAGATAAATAATTCGATAGATATCTTTAACACGAAATATTAAATTCAATGAAGTTAGTAATGAAGGCTCACATCTTTACTGATATTCGCTGATTAACACGGGGAAAGTAGCTTATTGATTTTGTAATTCGGTAGAAGAGTTGTCTGAAATTTAAATTGACTAATACAGAACTGCAAGTGCGTGTTGATAGTTTGACTGTGATTTTCATGCACAAACGTTGGAATAAGACACCAGTAATAAGTATGCACCTATATTAACCATTTCTATTAATTAATAAATAGTAGAACGATTTGCATGTGCTTAAACTTTGAAGAGAATTTCTTATATATATATCTTCAATTTCCTTTATCTCTCAGTATAACATAAATTTTTCCTAACAAATGCATGGTTAATTTGCCCGTAAAATTAATGAACTTGTTTTCATTTGCGCGCGTTCAAGAACGCGATACGTACTTGGTGAGATCATCGATTGGTCGCACTTAATTTGTGTAAGCTTTATCAAATACTTGTGCAGTTTGTCTTGCACGTCCATGTGCATGACCACGTCCTGGTAAACTCTGAAGACCCCAGTCATGCCTTCACGAACTTTGATCAACGCTGAAAAAAAACGCACAAGCGAATATACATTTAATTGAAAATTTTGGCAATTTGTTGTTGAACTTTGATGTACGCTGCAAGCAAAACACACACACAAGCGAATAAACTCTAAAAAGAAAATTTTGGTAATTTATTGTTGCGGTTGATAATTTTACTTACCTTAGGGGAAGACTTAATTTATATATCATCAAGAATTTCGTAGCATCTTAATGTAGAATTCTTCATTATACTAGTTAAGCCTTCTACAATCAAGGCTGAATATTTTAAAATTCATGATGATTCACATAGTCTTTATTTTTCATAGTGGGTAAAATATTCACTCATAAATAACAAAACATTGTTTGAATTTCAATTGATATACTGTAGTTACATGCGTTTTCAATCCTAATCCACATTTTTAGGAGCTCATTCCATTTTATTAATAATTATTAACAGATCACGATTATTTATCATATTATATAATGTAAAATATAAATTATATATTTTCTTAAACCGTCACTCACTCTCGTGCTGATTGAGGTTGCCACAGAGCACGCCGCTGTTGCCCTCTGCCTGGCCTGAGATAGTGAGGGTGTTACCCTCACATATGTCGACACGAGGAGCCGTCAACACCAGGTCAATAAACTCGGCTCTGCACAGGAATTATTTAAACTATTATTTGTTTTATTAAGCAAAAAATTAATATTTATATTATTAGAATTAGAAATTATTATTTTTTTACGTAGAGAAGTGAATCAAGGAATATAATTCTTGTTGAAGTCCAATGTAAAACATTAAATGATTTAACTGTAGCTTCCTCCGTGCGACTGTAACAAGAGGTGACAAGATCATTAGAGCTCGGGTGCCATACATTCTAATGGGTTTACTAGGACAAAATGACCAGGAGATCAAGCAGTGGGCAATATTGACTCAATGAGTTGCTGGTTCTAGACCCATCTAGCAGTAAAAATTCCGAGACATCTCGAATCGGAGACAAAATGGCCTAATATTCAAGGCTGAAACCACTTTATTTTTAAGTCATCAAATTATAATGTGTAGGCTTAACTACGGGTTTCAGAGACCCTTCATGGAAATGCAATGGTGAAGAATGGTGTACCTGATGTAGCAGACGTTGCGGTTGGGAGTGATGTTTATAGTGCAGCCGTCGGCTCTAGGGGACAGTGCAGGATATTTCTCACTCTCCCAGAACGCCACACGACTCACCATCGTGTCACCACACGACAAGTGATCTGTCCACACAATTATTGTATGTTACATAGCAGTTCGTGATGTAATAAAATGTTTTGAATATTTTCCGGATGTTTATTTCCGGATGTTTATTTTTATTTGGGTTTTGAAGTAAGTCTGCAATCAGAATTCTAATGCGAAATAATCTTCACATCATCAGAAAATAACGGCGAAATGTGTACTGATAATCGACAAGAAGTAAGATAATTATTGTAACTGTCCAAAAGAGCAAATGTATTAAATTTTTCGATGTGAAAAACTCGTTAATAACAAGAGAACAGATCTATTCAGGAACCGCCGTCAGTTATCTGTCTACTATGGCAGGACTATGTATTTACAAAGGCATCAAAGGTGTAATGACATGACCAAATACTTTTAGTAATTTGAAGGATAATATATGGAGAATTACCATATAATAAAAGGTTATGTTACCATAATATGGGACAGAAATACCATATAATAATATGGTATTTCTACTTTATTAGGTACAGGCTGCCTTCAGTACAAAAAGTAAAGGCTATGGCCGCAACACGACTTTATGTATTTCAGCGTCACAAAAACTTAAACAGAGACCAATGTCGTTTAATGATTAAAAACAAGTTTTTTGGAAGGACTGGTCTGACGCTCGATCTTACGAGAAACTGAACTTTTCTACTACTATCTTCCAACTTGTTTATACTCATAGCGGTATCAGATATATAAAACGTGGTCCGAGAACTTCTAGTTAAAATGAAACTCAGATACACTGTATCAATGTTCCATGTCAACCATTGCTAATCGTGATATGAACATATTTCGTGAACATATCGTGATGAACGTAGATGAATTTAATCTATTAAGAAATTCCCAGAAATTCTTATAAATATTAAAAAAAGCACCGCAAAACTATAATGACTGTTTGGGCATGCAAGGCCTTGCAAAACTTGAAGGAGAGGATCGGACCAAAAATAAAAATTTTATATTCAAATTGGTAGTCATAAATGGAATTAAAAATGAGTAAAATAGTTTCTTTCGTATTTTGCAACGAGAATCAAATGAAATTTTTTGTTATTGTTGTTATTATTATTGTTGGTGCATTTTACTGAATATGTTTCTACATGTTATTATCGCTTCAAGGGTTCTTATGGTGATTCATGTAAACGTGTGTGCTACTATTGAAACATATAGTAGTGCAACTGACTCCTTCTTTTAAGAACTTGATGTTAATTGCTATAACTTCCTTGATGTTAAATAGCAAAGAATTTTATTTTGTAATAGGTGTGAAGTCGCATGAGTCAATATTCCCTTGGACATCTTACGAGTGCAACAGACGCCCTCGAGTGGGCCACAGTTGTCGTTAGCGGTGGCGGGGGCGGCAGTGCCCCCCGAGAACATGCATGTGGCGAGGTTGACGCAGGAACCTGTGGGGTGAATGTCATCCCTGTTGCTGCACAGCGCGTCGTACGTGCTCGACATCGCTTGAATCTCAGCCTCGCTGCCTGTCATCAGAAATTCACGAGTAAATATCTATTGCTATAATTATACTTATTCTATAAATGAATTGATAAACTAGAATGAAAATTCGACCGGCTGCCACAGTCGCCAGGAAACTGTAAGCAAATATGCATGTATCGCTATATTGATATTTATTCTAGAAATGAATTGATAAACTTTAATGAAAATTCGACCACCTGCCACAGTCACCGGGAAATTAGGAGTAAATATGTAAAATATGTAGCCTGATTTCGTATTAAAAATGAGTAGATTTGCTGTTAGGAAAGGTCGTAGTTTCAAGCCGATAGATTGAACTTGACCGAATCATCCGCGATAGTTTTGAATAGGAAATATAAATTACAATGTTTGATTAACATTTTGAGATTAACAGCGACAGTCCTGAAATATATAGAATACCATCTCGTGCAGCTATTTTAAGGCTTAAATATACACGCCTCTTTGCCTTTTGATAGTTAATGATAGGAGGATTGAAATAAATTTAGCTAAATAATAATAATAAATAATAAATAATAATAATAATTTAGCTAAATAAATATTATATTGATGAAACTACATATAAACAGTCGAGTCTTGCGCCTCGATTCCACTTGCAGGGACTTAGCCTCATGCTTGGTAAAAAAAGTTCTACGAGAGAAAGCGGTCCTCCTGAAAAAGATCAGAAGTCAGGGCATTTATTTGCGAGCGCACTTTCGCTTTCATCAAACTGTATGCTGCAATACCAATGAAAGGGGGCATTTGCTTCAATAAAATCTAGAATACTCAATTTTTTGAGCACAAAGAAAGCAGGCATTACTGAATTAGCCGTGCATAGGATCTTTTATTGCTGCATGTACATGAAATCTGACAGAAGATTGCTTGCCAGGCGATATTTAGTCGAGACCAAGAGTTTAAATGATTCATGATCCAGAGTTTGTATATTTATTTTGTGTGTGTTTGAAGGCAAATTGGAACTAAAATGCGTATATTTTATATATTATATTATATAAATAATAATATATATTATTATATTATGTATATTATATTATAACTCTATTTTGAGCTCTATTTTCCCACAATTATGACAACATTGAGCATGGGAAGAAAATATATTTTTTAAATAATGGATTCACCATACGCTGTTTTCATTTAATTTTTTCTGCAAGTATGACCACATCGATGGCTGAAAGTGAATGGCGAGCATAGGAAAAAACAAGGGTTTCTCCTTGCGAACCGTCGGCATGGCGTGGCCAAGACGACACTGTCGAATATTTAGAAAATCCGGTTTGTGGTCGCATTCGCAACCGGTTGCCGCACTCAGGTCTTGCGGGAAAAGTTTCCAATCTTTCGGAACTAAATTGACATTGATAGGTTGGTTCGCTTTTTGTGATGAATTCACTTTTCTTTGTTTGGCATTGCTACTTTTTTTTACCGACGCTATAGAAACGTGTCCACGGGCAGGCATGAAGCTTTGAATTCCGAGAAGAAAGATAGAAATGACTGAGCCAAACAGGAGCAGAAACAATGCAAATAAAAGAGAAATAGAAGTGTTTTTAGCATGATAGAAAAACGCAGTCGCCAAAATTCCCAGCGGGATAGAGTACAAATGGAAAACATTAGTTGTAGTTAGAAAGACTTAGACTGCGTGAATTTACGAAAACAATGTTCTCATGTAGCTTACGGAAATTTTTAAGTACATTTTTATGGAAAAAGCATTTGCTTCTGGAAATGACCGGAACGCAATTAAATTTTCAATTCTGTGTCATGTTTTTAAAGTAGCTGCTTCCTGAAAAATTCATAATTTCAAAATTTTCTATTAATTTTTTTTTTCTGGGGTTATAATATAATATAATGGATGTTCTATCGAATCCTTTAAAGTCAAAAAAGTAATCCCATTGTTAGTCGTTATTAGTCCTTTTCGCAGACTAACATATACGAAAGTTCCGGATCCACGTACAATTCTTGAAGAGGTTATTTCTTAGACATGCGAAATCCTTCCATAAATTACTTGAACTAAAAAAAAGTCGCAAAAATTCTTCTCATTTTTTAATTTAATTATTTCGATTTCTTTTGGTGTCTAACACAAACAGTAAGGAATCTAAGTTTCATCAATAGTATTCATCAATGGTATCAAACAGTTTCATCAATAGGATCAAAATTTCATCAATAGTATTGAATATCATTTGTGAAGCATCTCGCATTCGCAAACGTAAATTCACATGAATTTCATATAAGAATTAGATTTGCGATTCCAGTTAATTTATGCTCGATAAGTAAGACTTTCGTTATTTAGCCTAAACAAAAATCTGACTACAACTTTTTTGTTATTAGATTGGAATGAATTTACTCGTAAAAAAGTTACTTGTGTAAACTTATTAAAAGCAAAACATTGTGCCCGTAATTATAATAAGCCCACGGGTACAAAATTGTTTTTATTCTACAGGGGTAATATTATTATTATTCTATACACGAATTTTCTTACTATTCTTCAGGATTATGGTTAAAACCAACAATTAACTACAGACGCGATTGGCCTTCGCGCTAGTAAATCACATTATAAAATTGCTAATTTACTATACTCAGTCCGCGTGGAATTTTTCATGCCATTCAACCAGTGGAAAATTCTTCAGTGACAATAAACAGTTCGCAGAGCACTCGACCATCTGGCATCCATGAGCTGAGGCAGCATGACATTACATTGTGGCCTATATTGTCAACTTTGCAGGTTTTTAATCTTACGATAAATTACTAGAAATGACGAAGCAACTTTCTTACGATGAATTACTAGAAATGACGAAGCAACTTCCAGTGTCCTCTTACCGACATACTCTGAGTAGGCATAACTGTTATTCGAGAACATAACTCTATCAGTTGTGCTTCATAATTTAATTCTACTAATGGATTAGAATGAATCATTCGCCGGTATAGGAGAGTAATTGTCGTCTCTAAAATTATGCATCTGCTATACGTTAGTCGAGAAAATGCTTTCATAAGCTTTTAGATATTAATAGCGAAAATTAACTGAAGATCTAGGAATTGGGAGTATGCTTATATTCACTAATTGAGTTTAATTATCAATAGACTTTAATCTACTCAACTTTTATTTTTAATACTTATAATCCATACTACATCGCCGAAATTGTAGCTCATTTGAACGGTACCTCTCCTATTAATTTTTATCATATCATAATGTGTCTAGAAATTGTTATTTAGACGCACTATTGAACACATGTAATCATTTGCCCTATATTGGCAATGAAAATTCAAAAGTGATCAATAATTTCATTAAAGTGACAAAAATTCTGTCTTGGATTCAAACATTTTCTAATAAAACAAATCTATTATCGAGGATCTTACCTCTGAAGAGGTTTCTGATGGGGTTGATGAAGTTCATCTGAGCGACGGACTGCAGGGATGTCGAGGACGGCAGCCAATTCGACAGCGGCGACTGAGACGTACCCATGAAGTTACTTGTCATAAATATGTAGGTGCTTCTATTTAAAACTGTATGAAAATTTTGCTTTGACTGCGGCATACAGTACATCTCCACATTTGATGTTCTTGATGAATAGAGGATACGAGTAACTTCTAACAGTTATATTTTAGGTATTCAACTGAGTTCGATTTTCAACTGAATTATTATTTTAGTTTTTAAAATAACAAGTTGGATGGTCGTGTTGAAGGTGAAATTTTGAATTATGTATTTATTACAAGTTTGAACCCATTATGTTATGGTGGGTCGATCAATAATAAGAAGCTGAATCAAATTCGCTCACTTATTCACATATTTGTGAGGGTTTGGGGAAAATTAATTAGTAATAATACATTATATAATAATGAAGGAATATTAATTATATATTTTCTAATTGATGGGGCATTAAAATTTTATGGAACGATATTTGCCCTTGCTTAATTACATTAGTGAATATTCACTTACTGGTACCTCAATGACTCAATATTTTAGCTAATAAGGCGGAAATGGTCCAATATCTCACACAAAATAAATATCAAGTCATTATAAAACATTCTACATAAACAATAAAATTCGGAAACATGAGAGAAAAATTAGATTTTTTGTCGAAATGTTCTAAAATAAATCGATTGCATTTAATTGCATATTAGTTTCAACTTAAATAAATAAGCGTACGCCATAATCAGTTAATTACTCACCATAGGAGCAGCCAGAGCGGTGATGAGTACATTGTTGTGGGCTCAGACGCCGCTCTAAACAATCACTTCTTGCCAAATATTTATCTTCTTTGATCTCGTTTAGATAATAGAATTACTCAGTTAGTGGTTTCATCACGGTAATGATATAGTAAAGATAATAAGATTACTTAGATAATGATTTCATCCACGTCATGATTTTACCAAGGTACTGATTTACTCGAGGAAGTATTGCTAAATTGTGAACCCCTAAATAGTTAGACCTCAATAAAGCAGTTGATCTTGACCTCCTGTTGCCTAGATACCGACGGCGCTATCAATGGCAAATGGTAAAAACTTTCTTACCACAAAATTAAATACCTAGAAATAAGTTTTCCGTCCAGATAATTGTTTTAATCACACTAAAAACTTTTAAATTTTTTTGTTTGTCGCAAGATATTCTAAGGAGTTTTCGCTTAATTTTTACAATGAAAGTTCCCACGTTAAGTACTTTGTCTGCGAATTTGAAATTTATTCCCTGAACTTAATTCAAAGACGAATTCCATTATTATTCCAATAATATCTATTTTAATCTGGCATCCAAAATTGTAAAGCAAGGGAAACTCTTAGTAAATTCGTCATATCTCAATTCATTAGAGTTCTCTTTACCTTTAAATTCTCAGAATTTTTAAACAAGCTTAAGATACAAATGCTTTTGTATTTTTCACCGAAATTCTCTGAACCGCGTGCGGGAAGAGCGGGTAACCCGACCGGGACGCCACCACAACCCAGACTCCGGGCAGATTTCCGACGGTCCGGCATTTGCAGCAGCCGTCCGGGCATCGTTCCGTGGCACGCAGGCAGCCCGAACAAGAACGTCTTCTTTGCGCATGCCAGTTTTTGCGCACATTTTCACTTGCACTAGCCGGACAGTCGATATTAAAGCCGTCAAGTAACTGGATATTTATACGAATTTTTTGCTCTAGCACGCTTACAAAACTAGTATTGCCGAAAGGCCTCGATTTTACAAACCACGTAATAGTTACAAAATTGAGCCACGAAAGGACGATGGGTTCTGCAGCACGTGTCTCCGCCTCGCCGTACTGTAGTGCAAGGGAAACTATGATAATGAGGGAACAAACGAGTTTAAGTAAGCATGAGCATTTATGATCGAGTGCTTGTAGTTTTTCCTGATATGAAAGCATTTAAGGGGCAACACTGTACGAAAAGATCCCCTTGGGTGCAACTTCGTTTGATGGCATTGATAACAACAAATATTATATAAAACATTTAATATTGTTATAATACGCTAGATGTACTAGGAATTCTCCCAGTTAATCTACTCGCAATACTATTGTATGTATACATGATTTCAAAATAAATAAATGGGGAAAATTTTGAGAAATGACCCGAATGTTGAACCATGTTCCGTTTTTCCAACATGCATTAGTGATAAGAAGTTTTTATCATATATCTATGGCCAAGACTAAATGCACGTACCTCATATTAGCGGATTTTAAGGTTCCGTTTTTGTTCCCATTATCAGTAGTTTTCTTTGCCTTGGGTGAACTGAACGAAAGTTAGCAGTCGTATTGTCGAAAAAGCGGACTCGGCTTTTTATGTAACGGTATCTTCCCTCCGATGGATTAATTATTATCTTTATTAAAATGCATATCAGTGATTTGCCTTAAAGAGGAGTAATGCTTTCACGAAATTTAATTCAGTAGCGAATTAAATGGATTGCTCAAGGATATAGCCGGTTTAATATCTTGTAAAGAGAGTTCTTTTATGGAATAAATGGGTTCCCTCTTACGGAATAATTGGGTTCCCTCTTATGGAATAAATAGGTTACCTCTAATGGAATAAATGGGTTGGTCTATGGAGCAAATGGGTTCCCTAAGGGAATGAACGTTTTCTTCTATGTAACAAGTGGGTTCATTAATGTAATAAGTGGAGACTGTTATGGAACAAATGGTTTGCTTAATGACGTAAACGGATTTTTTTATATTTAAATGGATTCGTAAATGAGTTAATTAGATTCGTTAATGAAATAAACGGATTCTCTTATGTAATGAATAAAATTGGTAATTGAATAGGAATGAACTCATATGGAATGAACAGAATACATTGCGGAGTGAATGGATTCGTTGATAAAATAAACCTACCCTTTTAAGTAATGTAAAGGTTCGTGGTTGAACGCGTTTGTTTCAAACAAATGCGATCTTCTCACTTGATACGAAATTTAGACCATATGACTTCTAAAAAAATCAGGCGTACCAGTTCCTTTGTTTCAATTCAGGGAAAATACGAAAGAGTTGAGTCATAATTTATAATCATAATATATTCTCTGGAATGACAGCTAGAGAAAACTTCAACACCACAGCTTTACTTGCATCATCAAGTTTTTAGCCTTCAAATTGCGGAGAGACGTCGTTCCATCGAACCACATCGTGGCGTCAAGTTAAATTCGGTAAGATTTCTCTGTAACCTGCGAGATGATAGGGACAAAAACCCGTTCTTCTTCTCCATCGCATTCACGAGGACGAGGTTGGGAAGCTTTACATAAATGAAAAGCAAGGGCGAAAAGAGTTGGCTTATGAGTGGAACACCGACAGCCACCTATAATTCACCAATAATTGAGTAAGTTGGGTTATGCATGTATAAAACTGTATTAAGAATGTCGGTGCTCATATTATTGCATTTTCTTAAAATCTTTTAGTTGTTGATGAGCATATATGCGAAAAAGAATAAAATTCATAAAGAATATCAGCTGATTGAACTCGGTTACTGGGTTTGTTTGCGAATATGTCGGATCCATGTACATATACATATGTACAAAAATGTTCGCTTCCAAGTTTGTGTTTCTGTGAAATTGAAGCCTAGCGCGAACAATACAAATATGTTTTCAGGCGCGTTTCTATAACTTTTAAATTTAGCTTTTCGTGGTTATTATCGAGTTCAGAAATTTTATTTCGGCTGGGGAATCAGGTGACATTACAAAGCCGATATTAAAGAACGAGAATTATATTTTTCACTAGGTACTTCTCGATTTTACTTTCAATGCAAAATGACTTTTCGTTTTTCAAATGACTAACTCAATATTATTCGTTGCTGAAAAGCCTAATCTATGAATTTAGTTGCATGTTGTTATAAAAGGTCGTTTATTACCCATAAATGCATGGGTTCAAATTAAAAATTATTAACGGGATTCAATGTAGTAAATTTTCTGTTAATATCCAACCCGAGCAATGCATGCCGGTTGAGCTCATGTGTTTAACTAATATGATGAGATAATAACTTCTGGATTAAATGCCAAGAAAAGAACAAGATAATTGTTTACCAAAAACATCAACCGATCCAGCAAAGTTTGAGTGGAATTTATTACGATTGTAGTTCGCAGAACGAGTTTGAAAACTGGTGCTCGAATGCGGTTTTTACATTGCATTTTACACCTCAGCGTTAGAAGTTAATGTTCCCGTGAAACCTGAATTAATCCAAGCACGAAAGAATAATGATTATAGGAGACATTTTGAACGTCAAGTTAAAGAAGGAGCTTCTTCATTTCTTGCAATAGAAATTGACGGGTCAGTCTTGGCCGAAAAACATGCTGGACAGACTAGCTCTCGACACGCGATTCCCTTACTATCAAACCACGTGGAGAAAGTAATTCTGTTGTAATGGTTTTTAATGAGGTGAAAACCTGCTTTGCTGAGAACATTTCTTCGTATAAAAACCACACCTCACTAAATCAAACCCTGGAAGTTCCAATTTATTCCCGGTTATTGTAATAGTCTCATGCCAAGGAATTTATAACATTACAAAGCTGGTACGACCGACGTTGGCCGTGATCGCACATAATTCCTGCAAATTGAGAATATCGGAATCGCAAATCCAGTCGATCCACATCCCCCGTTATAATAATAAAGCAGTTGTATGCAAATGAGATTATTAAAAAACTGGAATGAAATGATTGGAGTAATAAGTGAAATTCGATTTCTAAAGTGACATATTTAAATTTACATTGAAAATAAGGAACTTTTTTCCTACTCTTAAACCATGGTCACTCGAGAGTTCTATGCGCTCGGTAAAATGCTGGTAAAAACGTTATATTATCTCATTATTACACAGCAGCTTCATTATTATTATGAGATTCAGAATAAAAAGTTTCCGAATCACAAGGATTAACTAGTTTAGGCAACGCCTGGCAAGCAAACTAGTAGAACACAAAACTTGTATCTATGACACTTGATAAGTCTCGGGGATACGTGCACATCGAACAGCCGTGGATAAGCAGGTGCGATGATAGGCGCCCATGCATATATTTGTGGTGCCAGGCTTTAAACACATACAAACCCACAAGTATTGTCGAATAAAGAAAGATTTTTCAAAGGATAATAATGCATTGTAAACCTTTCAAATGCACTGAAATTTTATGTGTAAACTCAATGCGAATTCATTTTAATTTTAATTAGTGCTCCTTATAGTGCCCCAACGTTGAAGAATGAATGAAATTACATTAGTTTTATATACAGTATAGACGACAAATTCTCAAAAACAAATGTTGCGTAAAAAAATACATGTCGCTGAGTTCGTTGAACTAACCAAACCGGTTGCACAATAGGTTCAATGTTCGCTTGCATGTAACTTGCCTGCATAGAAAAAATGAACGAGTTTCTGTCAACCTGAACCCCTTTCCTTTCAAATAATTCGCTTGTTGAACGTAATTGGTTAGCCTCGAGGGTGTCTCTCAAGTTTGAAGCTTCCTTTCATTTCTGTTCCATGCATAAGCCCAGGGAAAATTCTGGCCTTGGCCTGCTGGCTGTTAAGCTTAAATTTATAGCTCGACGCACTTGTTTCTCTTGGTTCAAGATGAACAAATAAGGATGGCAGGTCGTAGACATTTTATCTACAACCTTCATGGCTGTTAGTGGCGGTTGTCGAGCCTTGAATGTATATCTAGTGCATGGGCAGTCTCCGTTGAACTCTGTTAAGCATTTCAAACGAAGAAGAAATGTCAACCTAGTTAACTACATTGATATTTTAACAATAACTCTAACGAGAAGAACGTCCTACAGGGGAAAAAACATTTATTTAAAGTATACATAAATTGGTTCAAATTGAATTATTTATATTAGACTAATTAGAAAAATATATTTTTAAATCAGATTGTGCCAAAAGCAGTAAAAACTATGCTACATAAGAATAATAAGTAAAAAGAATTCTTTCGAGGCTTACTAAATGAAATCAGTTTCTTAATACGTAATTTACATAAAACTGTGTCAAATTGATTTTTTATTTCACGTTTGAATTTGTAGGCAATAATTCGTGTTGCATTCAACGATTTACATTAGAAATTTAAAAAAATATGATTTATTTTTGAGGCATAATTTATTCGAAACAATTAATATGAATCTGCACGTAAAGATAAGTATCATATTTGAGGTCGCATTCTCACACGTTTTAATGTGATTATAAGTTCCATATAGATCGTACCATTTAAAAAAATCGTTTGGATTGTTTTGAAATAAATGGCAATAACTGTCAATCCTTAAATAATTTTTCAAGGCCTGATAGTAACTGGCCGGTTAAGAAACAGCGTCGCCAATATTTATTGGACTTCGTACCCTGGTGCCCTGAATATCTGGATATTAGTTAGGTCACTGCCATTACCTCGCTGTTAAATGCAGAGTAGACTAGCACAGAGTGCGCTTCATGTCGTCAATAATTTCGCTCTTGTGGTATTAAATTTTTGAAAGAACGCAATTTTCCCTCAGCTACCAATACTACAGCCCGGCTTCAATAGCTGGTCAATAAAACCTCGTCAGTCGCGGTCACTCATGAGATGAATATCAATAGAGCTGCTCAGTCCTGACTGCTTATAAATATAGCCTTTTACTTTTGGTCGAGATCACAGTTACAAAAACGTGTATTATTTGCCATAATTGTTTTCTTCTCTGGCATTACTTGAAAATTGCTTTCGATTTTATTTTCTCCTCTAAAAAATTTACTCGAGTCACCGATTTATTTGAAGACATTATCCTTATTTTGTGCTTGTAAACTATTTATTATCATGAATGATTATCAATATACGTCAGGCCTATTCAAATACGTGCATGAGACTAACATTGACCTTTGTTTTTTCAAGTAATTTATCTAAATTTTCTCAGTGCTACAAAAAATTTTGACAGTCGAGTAGAAATGCAGTTCTTAGCATTGAATGCTTCTTGAACAAGAACAAGGAAATGAAGTTTTTTTCATACTTAATACTATTCCACTCACGTTGATTTTTAATAGAACTTTAATGTTTGTAATCAAGGTTGAATTTTAGTGATTAAATTTTTATCTATTAATATATATTTGTTAGTTAATCATGAAGTAGAATTGTAACAGGTGATGCTTCTTGCTCATAAATACCCTGACATATGTGGAGTTTATAAGCTTTAATACACGCTCCTGCATAATAAAATATATTATCCTCTCACCTTTAGTGATTCTGTGGCCACCGAATTTACCCCCAAGATTTCCATGTGGATCGTTTACATGCCAGCGTCATCGCAGGTGTGAACTCCCAGCCTCGCCTACGCAGACCCTGAATTATTCATCAGCGTTGAGGTCACCAATCAGAACGCCGACTATTTTTGCACAGTAGAAACCTGAGCCTTGAAATCAACTGGTTTTACTGACGTTCAACTGAAGCAGGTATGCAAGAGTTCATGTCCAATACACTGCGCAATTTAAAAGTTCATGTCCAATACACTGCCCAATTCAAAAGTTCTTATACAATACACTGCCCGGTACAAAACTTCCTGCCCAACACACTGCCCATTCAAAAATTCCTTTCCAATACAATTGCTCAATACAAAGGTTTATGACCAATTCACTGACCGATATGAAAGGTCAAACCTAAAACATTGACGCAAAGGTTCATGCTTAATTCACAGCCCAATGCAAAAATTCATGTCTAATTATAAGGTCCCCGATACAAAGAAGACGTAACTGTCATGCAAGCGCGAAAAATTGACGAAGGAGCTAATCTCGGCAATTTGAATGCTCCTCAAGATTTATTCGAGGGTCAGCGAAAGGAAGATTGTCGCCAAACCCATCATCATTATCACGACTGGCACAACAACAACAAGTGCTACGCCGACGAGGTAAAAAATAGCTCCATCAACCATCATTCTTGTCAATAATTCAAATATTTTTAACATCAGATTAAAAATATGATTATGATACACGAAATGATATTTTCTTTCAATATGATTCACGAAACATTTAATTAGTACTGTCATATTTAGAGAATCGTTCTCCTTTATCAGATATTCGCCCTGATTTGCTAGAAAAAGCAATCTGTGGCGTGAATAACTTTTTAAATTTTACTTATAAGAGATGGAATAGCAAAAGAGGAAGACATAATATTTATTTTTTTTTATAAATTTGTGCTTAATGCATATTATTTTTATACCAGCGGTTTCCCAACGAAGGGCATCAGCATTGGATTCGGCAAAAAATGAGCGGAGTTCAGCAACAATCATATTTTTACACTTCAATCTATGGCTACGTTTTAATTGAATTGTACTCCGTTTTTATTGTAGTATTTCTGTTGTTTTCTACCCGATTTTTCCACTTTTATAAAAACCGATGAAAAACTCTTTCTTTTTTTTGCTACCTTCTGATCATATTTTCGTACATCAACTCTGATGTCATTATAAAAAGCTATACATAGCTTCTAATTAAAATGTGTCGAGGCCAGTATACTATACTCACATATGGCAGCGGGTGGTCAGATGCAGGCAGGTCGTTGCATCACTGACTCCAGCAGAAAATTTGCTGCAGTAGAAATGTTTATAAAATCTGGCACTAAGTAGATTTTAATCTAAACAATACTAAGGCCACTTAATATGAGGGTGGTCGTTTTGTCATCATCAACAGTACCTTGATCATTACTCACAGATAAAGTAACGAAAGCCAAACTTGACAATTCGAATATAAAAAGTAGGTAACTTTTTAACTTCAATATAATTCAATTTAATTCAGCACAATTTATTTATTGATAAAATAGTGCTACTAGCCTTAAAAAACACGGAAAGAGCGTAAATTTTATTGTTCGAGTCAAATCTTTCATTTAAATGCTCAAAATTTTTATATTGGCAAGATACGAAGTAATGTTATAGCCTCATACAAGTGCATGGTCAGATAAATGTTGATTGGCAGAGACATGATACCGCAGCCTGAAACACAATTAATGGAAAACACTAATTAATTTTCAAATGCTGCTCATTCGCCAGATTATATGTAATGTTGAACAACTTGCAAGTTTTTTCACTAGTTTCGACAGTTTCGACGGCACTGCCCTCTATTCAATAATTCAAGAGATTGAAATTGCAAAGCTAAATTAATGAACTCAATTTTTAAGTCAAACATTTGTCAATTATAGCTTTTAAAACTGGTGCACATATTTTATTTTAAACTATATATGCGTTGATCACTCTTCTAGAGGTCGCCAAATAACAGTAACACACTTTGCAATGAAAATAAGTTTTGCAGAAGTAAACACTCATCAACGATGTTATTTTGAGATGAATTCTAAAGAACATATATTTGAAAACCATAAATTGCCATAATTACAGGTAAAATCATCAGGTTTGCTACTAATTAATAATAAAGGAGATCAAGGCTCTAAAAAATATAACTCAGTACTCACTGCAGTGAGTGACAGCTATAGAGAGCGCATTATCTCGTCGACGAAAACGTGAAGTCACGGACGGACAGACAAACGGACGGATAGACGGACATGGCGAGCACAATAGCGCTTTTTTCCATAAATGAGAAAATGCGCTAAAAAAGTTATCTGATAATTTTTGCTAGGATTAGGAAATATCAATAGAGTGAGCAAGAATCTGCACTGCTGGCGCCTCAGGACAAGATCATAGAAGGGGTCCTGATAGATCACCATTTCCTCATGTGATTGGAGGTTGCGGTTAAATTTGCCTATAAATAAAGATACACGAGTTCGGTATGAGTCATTTTATTGCGGAGCTTTGACAAATTGAATAATCGAACTCGGCTGAGAACGTCTTTGGACGAGAACAATCGGATGCAACAGGCAGGTCAGAACAGTGTGTAATCCATGCTCAGGTTAGCAATTTATAATTCGTTGATTAAGGTATCTCCTACTTTCTACAGCGAAATGAAAATTTTTATACTTAATTTTTTTCAAGCAAAAGTGAATAAAAGGATTTGATTTTGACAGTGGTGCGCACAGTCCGATAATACGCTAACCGCTAATTAGCGAAGATGATCTTTTCCTTAGCCGGTATGTATAGTCAGCCATCAGTTTGGCACACCGGCTAAGGAAAACGTCATCTTCGCTAATTAGCGGTTAGCGGATTAGACGACTGTGCCCACCACTGGATTTTGAGTTAAAAAAATTCTTTTATAATTATTAACAATAGTTTTTAATTTTTTTCACACGAAATGATATTATAGCAATAGCAGCTTATAGATAACTATACACATTTATCATACAATGCATTTCTGAGGCATTTAACTCTAGGTGTTAGTTAACTTTTAGTTATCGCTGCCGTGCACCATGCCGGCTGTCGGTACCATTACCGCCGTTGCCACGGTCCCGGTGACATGGGTGCAGCGGTCCCAGTATCGTTGATGCAATGGCCGCGTTACCGTTCATGCTTCTATTGTGGCAACGGTGAGTTCACGGTCCTGGTTTTGTCAGGGACTATACTTTCAAAACTCGCTAAGTGAACGTAAGTACTTACGCTCTGTTTTCTTGTCTGTGGTTGGTGGATTTTGCTTGAAAGGCCGTCAATGATTGGCTGATGAACTTACGATCTCTTAACTTTTTTTGAAAGTATAGGCCCTGGTCCACGGTCACATATCGCTGATGCCGACGTCTCAGTACACTCAGAGAAACGGGCGAGATTTAGTCCGAATAGCGATGCACTCTGAGCATTGTTTTGGTCATTCTGACCCAGTTTCCCTCCAGAAAAAGGGCGTACAGGTGTTATGTGCTAAAAGTGTGTCATCATTTGTATAACATGACCCTTCACTTTTCTGAGTGTACTTTTGAAGCATAGGCAGCGATACCGTTAATGCTTCGGCCTCGCTATCGTTGTTGCTACGGTAGCGGTATCCATGCTTCGAGAACTAACTGCATATGGCCCCGGACATCTTATTTTAGTAGCAGAAACCACAACAAAATAAGGACATCAAACAAACAGAGGAAGTTTTACATCAAGAACTCTATAAGCCTGTGTGATGAATTATAGCTAGGTGCATGTAATGCTCAATTTTATAAATGATATGTTTTTTACTTAGCCATTATGATACAGAATCTTCTTTTGTCATGTGAAGAACTAATTGGTAAGATGAAATTCACTCAAATGAATTTTTTTAATGAAGTAAACCTTCTTCTACAACCTTATTTTATCCTCTACAAATAGAATGTAAAGGGCATCACTCTATTTTATCCTCTACATCTTGCTTTAGTAGCAGAAACCGCAACGAAGTAAGGACATCAGAGTTAGTGATGCTCCTGCCTAATATAATTCTTCAGGTATAATAATAGGTAAACAGAATCAGCTAAATAAATTTATTGATCGTGTGCTGTCATTGATCACGGGACTTACAATACGCGATGCGCCAAAAATGCGGTTAATTTGTTTCGAGTAGCTTTGAATTATTGATGCATGTGCTTTGGCAGCATGGCAGCACTTCACGTGTTTATATTGTTCCGCAAAATTTACTTGAATTTTCACAGATAGATGCACAATAATTAAGGTACGCTGTATGGATTCTAGGCAATCCATTGCCAATCTAAAATCTCTCGAACAAATGTAAATCCTTAAAATGCAGGAGGTTCGAGTAACATGTAAGGTTTTAGGTCATGATCTGACACGAACTGCTCAGGACCTGAATATTCAAGTGTTATTGCCTAACATGTCATTCATATTACGACTGAAAGTCTTTTGCATGTTACTTATATGTATATAAGCGAGACTTGTTCTGTTGTAGGCACATTCGTCCAACAGCCACAGTCGCTCGTACAACGAAACCAAACGATATTTTTCTTCTTCGGTGCCGTGACGACGATAGCAGCATGCAGTTCAAAATTGTAAGTGAATTTTAGCCTATGTAGCTGATGAATCTGTGTGATTTTACCACGTTTTTCTTAGTTTCGCTTCGTGTCCGTCTGTCATCAAAAAAAGCAAACCATAATTTAGAGCACTTCTGAAGATCCTAGAAACATGAAAATTTGGCATGCATGCTTATGCTGTCTAACAATTCAAGATTTGATCATCAGAAGTAATAATTTAAAAAAAAAGTTAAAAAAATAAAAAAATAAACATAAAAATTTGCGGTTTGGGAATCGAGTTTTTTTTTGTCGAACATCCAGAGTTGCCAACCCTGGAAAATGATTTAAATTGCTAAACTAGAAAGTAGAAAGTAAACTAGAAAGTAGAACTAGTTGCTAAAATTGCTAAACTAGAAAGTAGAAAATAAATAAATATAAAAAACAATTTTAAAAACCACGTTTTTTCTGTTGGTTACAAAACTAAAAACAATGAAATCAAATAAATAAAAAACTTAAAAAAACACGTTTTCTTAACGGACAAAAAAGAAAAACATTAACTCTTACATAATTATTCTTACAATAAGGTAATAAAACGAGGTTGAAAAATACATTTAGATTATAATAGTGCGAAAAATAAAGAAGACGACTCACAGATTGTGGCATGCTGTTTTTTCTCAACAGGACGGGCACTCTGTTCCCCAACAAGCCCACCATCACCGTGGGGCGAAAGTAAAAGTAATTCGGTACAAGCGTCTTCATGTATTTTTACAGTTGCCTCTAGTAAGTTAGCGCCATATAAACCTAGAGATGTGGCTTAATATTGTTGCTGTGTTAAAAAGTTTATATCTCTGGAATTATTGCCTATTTCCTACGGTAATTTCTATTTAATTTTAAATTGGAAAAATGTTATAATTTGAAACTTACTTGGTAAGCACCACAAATGTCTCAGTGTTAACTATAGCATATCTTGCTGGAAATGTTTAATTCTAATTTAAAGTTTTCCAGATGGTTGCAATGAAAAATTTCTGAATATAATTATCTCTCGAATAAATTCTATGACATATACCAACGTTCACCAATTCACCCAAAATGATTTAAAATGTAAAGAAAAGCATCCAGAGTAATCAATTATAAGTAATTTTTCTTTTCCTCAGAGAGGCAAATAAATTACTTTGGTATTGTTTCAATTTATTAGTGTGAATACTCTAGTTCTCAAGAAGTTAACCCATTGAAAAAATCATAATTTCCAATCGCGCGAATAAATTTTTATGATATTCATAGGTCGGTAATACTTGTTTATTCACGAAAGTAATTATGTTTAAGTAATAAGTTTTAAATGTCATATGCTGAATGAAAATAAACATAATAACCGATTTTCAGGTTTATTTACCACAATGGGCCAGATGAGGTGATGCAGAGCGTGCCTCATCTGAGATTTTTTTTTTCGACAAAATTACAATTAAAATAAAGAAAATGTAATTTAAAAATTACATATTTATTTACAATTAAAAAAATTGCAAAAGAAAAACGACAAAATTACAATACAATACGCCGAAAAAATCGTATCCTATTTTATTAGTCGTATGTAGACAATTGAGGATAATTATTGTCATGTTATAAATAAAAAACAATAGGAGCACGATGTTTTACCGTTTTACTTTTGCTCCTGAATAGAAAATCAACAGAGATACAATAAAGTTCAACCAGAGTATTTTTTTCATATATTTATGGACAATTGAAAAAGATTTTTTTCATATTATCATTAAAAAACAAAAGGAGCTCACTGATTTAAACTGAATATGAGCAGAAAACAACCATTTTAAGCAAGTTCTAGACAACAGTAGAGCCTCAAGCTTCCAGCTGTAGTTGAACATTCAACTTAAATAGCGATACTCAAATTTTTCATATCAGCTTTTCTTCATATTGGACAAAAATATTATCTAGAAATTCCCAGTTATCTTATCACGTTTACTCTGCTACACTGAGCGTCTCATTCACTCCAGGTTGCCCAGATAAATCAGCTAAGTTAAAGAAACCTGTTACATGTGTACCTGCTTTACCTGTACCCTTTACCTTTACCTGACCTGTTGCCACAGACCAGGTAAAATTGATGCTACGGTCCCGGTATCGTTGATTAATTAATGAATGCAATGGAAGTTTTACCGTTCATGCTACTATTATGGCATAATTGAACCCACGGTCTTATCATCGTGTGGATTTGGTTCCGGTATAGTTGATTCTCAGTTACCAGCATTGCTAACGCCAACGTCTCATATCCTGTTAATGCAATGGCTGAGGTACCGTTGATGTTTCGCTATCGTTGTTGCTATAGTACCGGTATCCATGCTACGGTAATTAACTGGCCCTGGAGATCTTGCTCCAGCAACATAAATCGCAACTAAGTACGAGAGCATGAAGTACAGATGGTTTTAATTTAAAACTGTCCTTATCTCGACTGCAAATAGAATTGGATTGAGAAAGCTGTTGCTCTAAAATACTTGAAAGGCTAGTGGGCAGCTACCATAATCTATAATAACTTTGATTTGTATCATACATACGGGGGGGGGGGGATTTCACTGCATCAACTGTAGACCTCAGGGGTGCATTTTAGCTCTCAAAATGCCCACTTAGAGCTTGATTTGAATATTTATATGCATTTTACAAATTGTTAAAATATATATAAAATTTTTTAGCCTTATTCAGAATTAATCTCGGGTAGGAATATTACTTCACTGCATCAGCTGTAGACCTCAGGGGTGCATTTTAGCTCTCAAAATGCCCACTTAGAGCTTTATTTGAATATTTATATGCATTTTACAAATTGTTAAAATATATATAAAATTTGTTAGCCTTATTCAGAATTAATCTCGGGTAGGAATATTACTGCAATGTATTTTTTAATAAAGTGGACCTGTTTTTAGAACATTCACTTACCTTCTACATGAGTGTGCATAGCCATTATTCCGTCTTAAGTGAAGATTTAATTCAAGTTAGATTAGATCAACTTTTCAAAATTAAAATTCTCGTAAAGTTCCCGTTCAATAGATTTTTTTAAATTAAAAGAATACGCAAACAAATACGTTTAATTAACTCTATAAGATCATTAATCACTTTACTCGCAACACACGATACACCAAAGTTACACTTAAATTTCGTCGTGTATCTTTAAATTATCGTTTCACGTCTTTCAACAACAGTTGAAATTTTTATATATTTACGCTATATTTCTTTGTATTAACCCAGATAGATGCATGATAAGCTCCGTAATTCGCCATCCTTGCAATCCATTCGCAATCTAATTTATCCAACGATTATATATCCTTTCAATGCAAAAGGGTCAAACAACATGCACGATTGATGTCAGGACCGGCAGAAGACATAAATATTCAAGGGTCATTGCTAACGTGTGGTTCGGTTCATACTACAACTGAAAGTAATTTGCATGTGACTCAGATATAAGCGAGACTTGTTCCTTTATCTGCACACTCTCCTCGAAGCCTCTGTTGCGCGCACAACCTAGCTCGACTTTATTCTTCTCCGAGGCAGTGAAGACGATAACGCAATGCAGTTCAAAATTGTAAGTGAATTTTAGCCGATGATGCTGATCAAGCTTCGTGTATTTAATAGTGATAATTTGATAATTCCAGCAAGGCTTTGGTTTAATTTCAGTTATCGCTGCTTGTTAAAACGTTAGGTATTTATAAGGTCGTAATATTAGTAAGGTTTTGTTTTTAGCTCGTGTATTGCAGCGGATGAAACGATGTGCATTGTAGTTTTTCGTAATATCACAAGGCTTTGCCTTCACTTTAATTGTAGCTGCTGATAAAACTGTGACTCGTGATTTTACATAATATTAGCAAGGCTTCTTTTTTACTTCAGTTTTCCCGGCTGATGCGGCCGAGCTCAATGTAGTTTACTATGGTTTCAGTATGACTTCATTTTCACTTCAGTTATCCCTGTTGCTGTCGCTGCTGTGCTTCATGTCAGCAGTCGCACGCCCTACCGTCACAATAACACTCCCGACCACTTCAAGCACAGCCACATCAAGCACGAGCATCATAAGTGCGCTAACAACAGGAACAGGGGTATTCCCTATAAGCACCGGCACCACCTCAACTGGGTAAGTGGCGAATGATAAATACTGGTATATAATATTATACAATTATTGTTTTTATTATTATTGTACAATTGATACTATTACTATTATTATAGAATTAGTACTTTTGTTATCCATGCTATTACCACTAGATGAAATAGGTCAGAAATACACAATTCAGTTGATATTATTGGTAGTTATTATTGACATTGTTAATTGTGGATGTCAATCAGTTAATATAACAATCTTGGTATTCATTTCATAGCTCTTCATATTTTATGATATCAGCATTTTTCGCTGGAAATAAGACTTATAATTCCAAATGTATTCCTTGCAAATACTTAATGAAAAGAAATTATTTATGATAGATTTTCTACTTATGCCAACTATATGCTTTCGGATTTTCAAGTTTCTTACGATGATTTTTCACAACGAAGGTAAAACATACATTTAGGTTATAATAGTGCGATAAATAAAGATGACGATTCACAAATTATTTTCGTTTTGTTTGCATTTTTTCCCAACAGTTCAACCTCTCTGTTCCCCACCAAGCCGTTCACCGTCACCGTGGGGCGAAAGTAAAAGTAATTAGGTAAAATGCGTCTTTATATACATTTTACGGTTGCCCAAGACATGTTTAACGCCCAATAAACGTATGAATGTTGTTACTAGAAGGTCTCTGGAGTTATTGCATATTTCCAGTGAATTTTAAAATTTCTCATGTGATTTCTAGTGAATTTTGATAATCGAGAATTCTTTCATATGAAACCTGCAGAGTAAGTTACATAAGCAGCGGTGCTCGTTTATGTATACTTTTCTAGAAAATTTCCAAATATAACTGCAAGTTCTCTAGATTGTTGTAATAAGAAATGTTTCTTTCTAATAAATGTTATGATATTTTTCAACGTTCACTTATTCCCGAGTAATTAATTTTTTATAATCAACTGAAAGACAAATATCTTTTTAATTAGCTGAAAGGCGAAATAAATAAACTTCTATCGGTTCAATTTAATAGCAAAAAAAAACTATATTTATCGAGAAATGAACCTGTTGCAAAGATCGGAAGTTGCAATTGGATGCGTGAATAAATTGTTAAATATTCATCGGCAGTTAATTATTTGGCTCACTCATGAACTTGACTTATAATAAAAAATAAATTTTAAAAGATACATATTCGATGAAAGTAAAAATCATAGGTGATAGTCACGTCAGCAGCGTACGCTTTAGGCGAGTTCAGCATTTTTCTGAAAGGAATAACGACAAAATTACAATACAATTCGCCGAAAATGTTCATATCCTATTTTGATCGTCGTGTACGGACAGTTGATGATTATTTTCATATTCATATTTATCGAGGGAATTCAATAGAAGCACGATTGTCTACGGATTTACTGTTTAAATTATTTAAAAACTAAAAAAATGCGATAGAAGGCAACCGATGTGTTTTTCTATTTTGATGGACTATTGACGAAGATCATTGCTATATTATCACATGAGTATAAAAAATCCCACTTATTTAGAATGAATATAATTAAGAGAACAAACATTTTGCTCATATTCTCGACAGCAGTAGAGCCTCAAGCTTACAGCAGGAGTTGTACATTTCACTTAAAGAGAGATGATCAATGTAAGGATGTACATTTACATTTCTGTAATAGACTTGTTTTTCAGTCCGTCACTTAGCTCAGTGCTGGGTCTTTTGAACAAACTTTCCGGCCAAGTTCTCCTACTCTGAGCAGGTGAGCAGCGTTGTTCATGCTTTGCTATTACCACTATTGAAATATTATTTAATATTATTACTATACAATTATTGCTTTTATTATCCTTGCTACCACCACTGGATGAAACAGGTTAGAGATACATAATTCCGTCGATATTAATTTAGACGTTATATCTTGAGCAGGTCAGCTACTATGGCTGAACTTTACTGTAGCGGTAGCGGTAGCACTCGCTACAATCTAGTGGGTGTAGCGGTAGCGGTAGCGCCCGCTACAATTAGAGCATGTAGTGGTAGCGGTTGCGGCCGCTACATTTCAAAGTAGAGCTGATCAGCTCTGGCTACACGTTGCTATATTCTTACAACATTCGGATGCTACACTGGTGCATGAAACGATCATTCAATACATGATGTGGAAAGTCATGAATATTTGAATAAATTAATTAACATTTGTAAGATTTTTCCGTTCTTATTCGGAGATTATGTGAAGTGAAGCATGACACATTTTCATAAGCAGGAGGAAATTAACACCAACGAATGACAGAAACACGATTCGTGCAATTAAAGCTTAGGTACAATAAAAATACGTTAAACTCCGGTGAACGCTTTTTAAACGATCAACTTCCCATGACTCAGCACAACAGACATATAAGACTGCATTCCTGGCATGCTTAATGGCTGTAACTCGGCGTAAGCGCGGCTGTAAACACTTCGTCACGAAGTTCCTGCAAGTGTTGAAGGTTGATTATTCAACATTCTTTCATATAACCCCTTACTTCCAATAGCAGGATGAAATCCAATAGCAGGATGAAATTGTAAATCAGTCAAAAAAAAAAAAAGTAAAATTTGCTTTAGGAATAGGCTTTGATTTTAGGCAAATTTACGCCGAAACATTTTAGATGAAAATGTCCGGACGCCTGATGTTGTCAGGATTAAGCGTTATCCGTAGTGATTTTGACCTTAATTATACCACGAAAATTTATTTCATGTGTTAAAAAGTTAATTTTAATTTATAATCATTTTTATTAAATTTTACTTCAGGTAGGATTATCTGCTAATTCGTCAGCATACGAGACTATTAAATATTTTTATTGATTTCATGTTGAAATTTCGACTTCTGCAACTAATTATTTCGTTCCTTCGATGACGATTCCCTTATTTCAGTTATCTCTACTTGTGCTGCTGTTGTGCGCCATATCAGCGGTTGCCAAGCTTAATTAAGTGCATCGTTATCTCGATGGGCTCTACATCATAGATGACGGCCCCAACGTAAAAAAACACTTTATGTGCAGTCATTGCTGTTCCTAAATTGTAAGCAAATTATTGATGGAATTGATCACTGATCCTTGTTACGAACATTCACGTTTCGAACAATACTAATACGAATAATAGAATTTTTCTTGAACGTGGCGGATGAAATGGCATGTAGCAGGTAAATTGGAATTCTAGCATTACAAATAATTTGATACAACTTAATGACTAATTCATATATTTTTTTATTAAAAACAGTCCAACAAAATGAATCAGCATCTGCTTCCGCAAAAGATGAATGCGGGGCAAAATTACAATTTGCTCTCATTTTTTATATAGTCGCATCTGGAATAGGCACCTAATATTTATCCAAGCATTTCTGTTGCTTTTTTCTAAGGATTTCTAAAAATATACGACATGACATATATCTCCATTTTTTTGCTACCTTGTTATCATGGGTCATTTATTCAATACTAAATGTAGGGATTTAAATTGAATGCGTAAGGCTTGAAAAAATTCACCAGTATATATCTACAGATTTTCGAGTACGGTACTGATCCGCAGCCTGCATTCATGGCGATTTAATTTGAAGTTTGGTGCATCCAACATACGTCAAAATATGAAATGGAGCTCAAGATTGGAATCAATTATTAAAAATGTTGGCGAAAAACTCGATAAAACACATATTAATATTTGGTAACAAGAAAAGCCTAAATCATACTTGAATTCAACTGAGCGATAATTTTTTCAATGATTTTTGTATATGAAACAAATTTGGAGCATGTTATTTTGAAGTCGTCAGTCAAGTATTTAAAGCATTTTGCACAATTAAAATTTTACAGCTTTTTTTCTCACTTCTAAAAGTCGTAGGGGGTGACACAAAAAAATTGGTAACTGTAAAGGCTTATAACTCAAAAAGTATTAAACGTAGAAAGATGAAATAAAAACCGCATGAAAGAGTATAACTTTAAGATTTATTTGGTGTCCATGTTACCAAAGTTCTCTATATATTTCATAGTTAAAACTCATTATTTTTTTAAGATCAAGATTCCCCCTACAATGCAGCTAAATTCTGAACAACGAGTTTTCATTGTCGAACAATTTTACCTGAAAACTTCACCAACCAAAATAAAGAGAGGTTATTTCACCAAATACAGACAAAAAGTTAGTCTCAACGCAATCAAGAAATGGATACGTCACTGGAAAGATATAAGAACGATCTTGAATCAAAACAAAGGTCATTCTGGACGGCGAAGAACTGGAAGATCAGAAGAAAACATTGCCATGATTGAAGAAATAATTAATGAATCTAGTCAAAGTTTGAGGAAGCTTGCAGCTGAAACAGGATTAAAAAGAGACTCTGTAAGGCGCATTTTAAAGAATGATCTAAAATTAAACTCTCGCACTTATTGACCATGATACCTTGTCTGTAGTAACCGCAAATTTTGAAAAACATATTGAGCTGTGTATTTAACAGCGAGGAGGTCATTTTGAATATTTATCGTAATCTGAATAAAACTTGAAGTTATACTCTTTCATGTGGTTTTTATTTCATCTTTCTACGTTTAATATTTTTCGAGTTGAAAGCCTTTACTTTTACCAACTTTTTTGGGTCACCCCGTACAAGTCCGAAAAGACGTTTATCGTGCACGAGTCATTGGCTGCAGTGACTTATAAATTAGTATAATAACCGGTTTCTGAAATCAAAATTGACACCACCCTCACCCTAGATTACGAACGTGCTCACGAGTTAAGAAAAGTGCAAAGAATGAAAAGCTTTTTGATTGAGGTAAAAGGCAAGACACCCGATAATGAATAAATGCAGCACCCTATATATGGGCTTTATGCAGTCCCTGACAGACGTAGATAATGTGTATGTTGATGGAAATCTTTGTGCCGAGGAGTTACCCGGACATCTTAAATCTTCCATCCAATAAAAAAATTGTGCTATTAAAGTTGATGTATCGTAAAAGAGGAACGGGTCTGGGAGTAAATAGACTCAGTTTTTTGTATGTATGCGCAGCTACCTTAGCTTTTTGTCCAATAGCTTTTTCGAAGAGTTTATGTCAGCGCAGAAATGTCATCACGTGCTTCATTATTTGTAAATTCTAAAAACATAAAAATCGGCGTCTTCGGCGATAGCTTGCATTTTGCGTTAAAAGATAAGGTGATTTCATTTACAAAAAAAATAAATAGTATAGTTATAAATTCAACTCTTTCGGTGAAATAAACTCGTTCAATGCCAAGTACAGCTCTCTTTTTGAAAGTTATGAATCAAACAATAGATAAAAAGGCCTTATAAAGCAATAAAGATAGTGTTTGCTCTGGAAGATTTTACGATTCACACAATTTTTGCAAGTCAAAGAAAAGAGCATAACAGTAATCATATGAATTGAACGCTGTAAGGGGGTCTTGAGCTTTGTAAAATTTAGTTATTGTCAATAGGTTATTGTCTATTGTCTTGTAGGTTATTGGGAATTTGGCGAAAATTTCGCCAAATACACAGAGAATTGTTTTAAAAACATTGTCATGAAAAGGCAAGGTTGATGTTAAACGATAGTTAACGACTTGCGTTATAGTTTTTCCATAATTGTTTATCAACAAATTTTCATTTTCTTTTTCTTATACACAAAATGATGTTTTAGTACAAGCAGATAATAACTATAGGTATTTTTTTCACATCAGCTCTCTCCGGGGCATTGAGCTCTCTCTCTTTACATCATGTCAGTGTTTTTGTTTCTGTTTTCGCTACTTTGTGCCTGTCGGCTGTCTCTATCACCACCGTCTCTGCCTTAGGGTCGGTATCGTTGATGCCGCGGTCCCGGTATCGTTGATGCCGCGGTCCCGGTATCGTTGATGCCACGGTCCCAGTATCGTTGATGCCGCGGTCCCGGTATCGTTGACGCCCCAGACTCGGTATCGTCGCTGCTACGGTATTGTATCGCTNCCAATCTAAAATCTCTCGAACAAATGTAAATCCTTAAAATGCAGGAGGTTCGAGTAACATGTAAGGTTTTAGGTCATGATCTGACACGAACTGCTCAGGACATGCATATTCAAGTGTTATTGCCTAACAGTCATTCATACTACGGCTGAAAGTCTTTTGCATGTGACTTATATGTATATAAGCGAGACTTGTTCGGTTGTAGGCACACTCGTCCATCAGCCTCAGTTGCTCGTACAACGAAACCAAACGATATTCTTCTTCGTTGACGTTACGACGATAACAGCATGCAGTTCAAAATTGTAAGTGAATTTAAGCTTATGAAGCTGATGAATCTGTGTGATTTTTAGTTTGTCATAACACTAGAATGTCTTCTTTTTACACCAGTTGTCACTGCTTATAAGATGTATGCCATTTCGCAGCGGATGAAGCTTCGTGCCTGATAGATTTCGTAATATCAGCAATTCTTTATTTCTACTCCAGTTATCGCGGCTGATGAAACTGTGTGTCATGTATTTTTTCGTAATATCAGCACGGCTTTGCGTTTACTTCAGTTATCGCTACTGATGAAACTGTGTGCCTTGTACTTTTTCGTAATAACAGCAAGGCTTTGAGTTTACTTCAGTTATCGCTGCTGATGAAACAGTGTGCCTTGTATATTTTCGTAATATCAGCACGGCTTTGCGTTTACTTCAGTTATCGCTGTTGATGAAACAGTGTGCCTTGAAGTTTTTAGTAATATCAGCACGGCTTTGCGTTTACTTCAGTTATCGCTGCTGATGAAACAGTGTGCCTTGTATTTTTTCGTAATATCAGCACGGCTTTGCGTTNGCAGGCGGTTTTGCAATCACCTAAGCGATCCGCACGAAAACATGCATCTGCGCTTAGAATTTCCGATCGCACAGTTAGGCGAATTCTGCACCAAGACTTAAAATTCCACCCTTACAAACTGGCAGTGGTGCAAAAACTAAATCCACGTGATTTTGTTTCACGACAAAGGGCATGTGAAGCCATCGTTGAAAACTTGCCTAACAACGCACTTGTGTTTTTTAGTGATGAAGCACATTTTCATCTGTCAGGGTGTGTGAATAAGCAAAACATGCGATATTGGAGTGGTGTGAACCCCCGAGAACTTCATGAGAAGCCCCTTCATGCAGAACGAGTGACTGTTTGGTGTGCCTTATCCAGGACTGGCATCATAGGCCCATGGTTTTTTGAAGAGAACGATAGGGCAGTTACAGTCACTTCTGAACGGTACATTCAGATGATTCAAGAGTTTTTCCTTCCAAAACTTGATGAACTTGGTGTAAGAAATGTGTGGTTTCAACAAGATGGGGCCACGGCTCACACAGCACGCGCTTCAATGGCTCTCTTGCGCGAACACTTTCCACAACGCGTGATCTCCTTAAGGGGCGATCTCCAGTGGCCAGCGCGCTCGCCGGACTTAGCCCCCTGCGATTATTTTTTGTGGGGATACTTGAAATCCTTAGTGTACACCAATCGTCCGAGGACCCTAGCTGAACTGAAGAACAACAT